GCAACATTATGGGCGGTTCCATTTCCCGACGGGAACAGCGTAAAGCGCTATTGTGCGCCTAAATTTTTGGCGTTAATAACTTTCGTTAATTTTCATTCGCAAATTTACAATGATTTTAATTCATTACTATTTTCTACTTTAAATATATAGATAATTTATCTTTGTTTTCATTATCAGGTGCGTTACAAGCTTACTCAGTCAACCTGGCCATGTACATGACGATGCGTACTCTAACCGGTTTCGCATCGATGACAGTGACTGTGGTGAGTTTCGTACTCGTTGTGGAGCTGGTCTCGGGCAAGTGGCGTACCATCACTGGTATCTTGAATATTCTACCTGTGCCAATTTCCTATATTCTTATGGCTTGTATAGCATACTTCGTACGCGATTGGCGGCATTTACAATTGGCCATTTCACTGCCATGGATAAGCCTATTGACAATTTGGTAAGTAAAATTTTAAGCAAATTTTGTTAAACACTTATGCCGAGTTTCCACAAGGTATTAAATTACATATCATAACTTTAACAATAATAGTCATTAGGGCTCTTTTCGCGTGACAATTTTTATTGGTCTGGCATTTCGAAGCCCGATGTAAATTCGGCATAAAAATTTAGAAAAAAATATTTAAATTGACTTTAAACTTAAACAAACGTGTTTTTTCAAAAGACTATGCTTTGTAGATTGTCGATTATTGTCGATCAGTAAAGTGTTTGGGTTTTGATTAATAGAACTGCTAATGCAGATTCAAGAATATGGATAGCGATATTTAGGAATATGAAAAAAGTAAAGCACTGATTTGTACAAGAAATCTAACTCTGAAGGAGCAGATTTCAAAAACTAAAAGTCGTGTTTAGCAAGAAGCAAAACCGGCTTAAATTTTCATATAAAAATTTTAGAGTATCGTTAAATTTTTCAAGATCCAATGATGGGATCTAAACCAAATTATTATAGGACCATCTCTAAGGTACCATTTCTTTTATAAAAATCGGTTAACGTGGTCCGAAGTTATGCGGTAACATACATAAAAAAATATTCCGACGAATTTATAACCTCCTCCTTTTTTAAGTCAGCTAAAAATAAGTGTCTCGATTTTTTTTTTTCAAAATATGAAGAAGTCAGTTTTAAACCTTTCTTTTGTGAGATTCCATTACATTCGCAGCTACTTTGCAGCACATACCCAAAAATAATAAAAAAAAGTTATGCAATATTTGCATCAAACGATAAAATTTTGGTAACAAACATATTTTGGGCAGGATTGCCACTAACAACACAAATAAATTATTTTAATGTGTATAATAATACGCATATTAAAGCAAAGGTAAAAAATTTTATAAAAAAGAGTTGCCACCTATTTCAAAATATTGAAATAAATGCTTTGAAATCAACTCATTCGACATATGGAGCAAAAATAGAAACTATTTTTTTTTAAATATTGTAAAGCCATTTTCTTAATAAAGACAATTTTTGGATTACATTTTCCATGTAATTGCCTTAAAATTAAATCAATGAAATGAGTTGGTGGTAGAAAATATCTAAAAATGTGTAAAATGAGTGTAATGATTTTGAACATTTAAAAAAAAATTTTTTGAAGAGGGTCGCCAACTACTAAGCTATAAAAAATAAGCAATACAACACCTTCATGCATAAATTGTTATTACTTTGTAGATAAAAAAAAATAAGTTTTTAAGTGATCTATAGAGCATTCACACTATCTGAATTTCAGGCATATTTTTAATTTCACTTCGAAATTATTTAATTTCTTCTTATAAAAATCGTCACTGAGAAGAGGTTGATTCCGCTGAAATCGAGAGGTGGATTGAGAAAAAATCAATTGTAGTTCAAGTTAATTTTGAGGTGCTTTAGATGTAGTAAATTGCCTAAAAATATTCACCCGTACCAAATTAGAATCCACCCACACACGGATATACTAGATGCTGCTATCTACAGATATAACACAAAGTGATCGTTAAAGCCATTAATTTCGGTTGAGATTTTTTGGGTAATTAAGTAATTTAAGCGCATAATATTAATTTTGGTAAATTTTGCTGAAAATCTAGTAATTTTGTCTTGTAAAATCACATCGAAATATATTAATTTTTCCTTAGAAAAATTGTCAGTTAAATCAATTTAAGTGCGGTGAAATTAAAATGCAAATTAAAAAAAATTGTGTAACTGATGTTTCGATAGAAATCATCTACACTAATGTGAACGCACTTGCCTTAGGTGTAGTAATTTGGCGAAAATAAGTAATTTACGCTGCAATGTTAGCATCGTTTAGGTAAGAATTCTGAAATTCCTGTCCATTTAATGCTTGGCCAAGAACAAGTTAAGGAAAACTAATTCAACTTATTTCTTACATTTATATGCATTGACGTTTATGACATTCTAATGTAATTTGTTTATCTTGTCCGAGTTCAATATATTTCTATAATCTGCTATTAGGCCTTTAATTTGATTATCAATAAGTCGCCTTTGCTTTGTCAAATCAACCTTAACCCTTTCTTTGTCAGCATTTTTGACCCTATTTTTATCTGCTTGAATAATTTGGAATGTGCGCTTTAAGTATTTATGCGCTGATGTACATATGTATGTATGTATGTATGTATGTATGTATGTATGTATGTATATAAACCACACTGTCATTTGATCTCCTATTTTGTGGCACAGCGTCCCTTCTATTTGAAATTGAAATCAATTTCATTTCACCTCAAATGGGGTCATCAAATAACAATGAAAAGTGTTGCTTTGCTGCTTTCCTACGCGAGCACGACATTCCTGTGGCATTTTTTACAATTGGAAGATTGTTTTTTTTTTTGCTTTTTCAACATTCCACAACAAAGTATCCTTTTTACCACTCTCATAAGGATGTTTAGCTTTTAAAAAAAGGTGCACAGATATGTTTGCCGCTATACAAATTCACTGATATATGTATGTATATATGTATGCACAACATCAACTTTTCCTTAGTCCTTTCGGTTCATTGGAACCTTCTGCGCATACCACACACATACATACATATGTACATACATGCGAGCCACCGGAATACACATTGACTGCTTTTGCTTTTTCAGCCGCAATCAAATCAAAATTCCACATCAATTCAATTTATGTTATCTGTTTTTTTCTCCCAGTAATGTCTCTATTGCTGTTGTTATTGCATATGGGCATTTCCAATTTCACGTGACGTGAGATTTGTATGACAAAATGTTAAAAAATAAATAAAATGAATAATTAAACATTTTAAAAGAGGGTTTTTTTTAATTTCCATAGTAATTAAAAAGCCCTTTATTTGGTAAAATAAATGACAATTGTTGGTAGCGCTGGCGTAATGTTACATAACACAGAAGTATGTTTTGATTTGGGTTAAAAAAATTTACAAGCACTGTGAACTGGCCATAACTACTGTACAAAAATTGTTGTAAAGCTAAACATTTTCCTGTTTATGTCTGTCGATGTACATATCTGACGCGATTTTGGATGAAGTTACGTTACTAAAATTTCCATTGAACAAATTTAGTTAAAATTGTTTTTAAACTAACTTTTAAAACGAATAAAATATGAAATTTTGTCGAATATATTTTTAGTTTTGACTTTAGCGCCACCTAGCGGCTCGCTTTTTGCAAATCTATGTGTTACAATCGGAGCATAAAAATATCTACACTCTGGCAGCACCCAGCATACAATTTTTCACAAACATGTTTCTTCTTTCATAACCAGTATTTATGTATTATAAAAAAAACAGCCAAGTTGGGTCGATAAATAAGTTCGACATATGTATGACTATTATTTTTTTCGCGTTAGACTTTCTACTGGAAATGCCCATATGTTGGCAGTGCGCACTTTTCTTTAATGTTGGCTTGTGTTTTTATTGTTGTAATATTCATTTAGTTCTCAGAAAAGTCCAAAAGAAACAAAATGGTTAATTTTTCTGCTAATGGGAAACTAGTGTTTGCGAGCTTACAGTTACAAAGCCTACTTTGAGGCATACACATCGGAGGTGGATAAACTTTTGCTAAGCAAGTATTTGGATTATACCAGTACAGCTATTTCAAAAAAAAAAGTGATATATGTGGCACTAGATTGCCATTAACAACTCTGGTAGATGTTTAAACTCGATTAGTGAAATACTCGAGATAATACTGGGTAAGAGAGGTTCGACGCGAAATAAATACAGAGTAGACGGACTTACCAGAACGGGAGTTCAGAGTTACCATTTTTGGTTTTTAGTTAACTTCCATTATCTACGATTTTACTTTCTTTGTTTCATTGTACTCTATTTTTGCTAGAAGCCTTTTTAAATATTTTTTCCTACATATCTCTCACATCCTAACTTCTCGCTCCACAGGTATTGCATGCCGGAATCACCACGCTGGCTACTCGCACAAGGTCGCCTCAATGAACTCTATTCGCTAATCGAACGCGCTGCCCGGCTTAATCACCGCACACTGCCTGTCAACTATCAAAAAACATTAGAAGCTGCTGCACCACCGCCACCATCAAGCAACATCTCAGAACAAAAGCTTACCATGGAAGCGAATATTGACAAAGTTCAACAACAACAACATACACTGGCGCCCTTCACCGCCGGACCGGAAGGAGGTGCCAGTACTATTGGCGCGGTTAAACCTAGCGTTGCCGAAGCTATTCCCACCACTCACGACAATCCATTGAAAGTGGTTTTTAATCGATTTTATTGGCGCACAACTTGTCTGAATTTGGTTGTTTGGTTGACTTTGATTATCGTCTATTATGGATTGACATTGCATTTGAGCAATTTGGGTGGTGATATCTACTTGAATACGGTGAGTACAGTGGCGAGGGGTGGGTAATGATGAGTGCGAACATAAGATGATAGAAATCATTA